GTCATAATTCTTTAGCTTCTACATTTCCCATACTATTCTTGCCCTGCCCATCTATTTTCTACCTACCATTTATGCTACTTATTCTCTGTATCCTTTCCCCCTCTCCTCCTCCCACTCCCCTGCTGATAACCCTCCATGTGATCTCCATTTCTGTGGTTCTGTTCCTGTTCTAGTTGTTTGCTTAGTTTCTTTTTGTTTTTGTTTTAGGTATGGTTGTTAATAATTGTGAGTTTGCTGTCATTTTACTATACATGTTTTTTTATCTTCTTTTTCTTAGATAAGTCCCTTTAACATTTCATAAAATAAGGGCTTGGTGATGATGAACTCCTTTAACTTGACCTTATCTAAGAAGCACTTTATCTGCCCTTCCATTCTAAATGAAAGCTTTGCTGGATAGAGTAATCTTGGATGTAGGTCCTTGCCTTTCATGACTTGGAATACTTCTTTCCAGCCCTTCTTGCCTGCAAGGTCTCTTTTGAGAAATCAGCTGACAGTCTGATGGGAACTCCTTTGTAGATTACTGTCTCCTTATCTCTTGCTGCTTCTAGGATTCTCTCCTTCATTTTTACCTTGGCTAATGTAATTATGATGTGCCTTGGTGTGTTCCTCCTTGGGTCCAACTTCTTTGGGACTCTGTGAGCTTCCTGGACTTCCTGGAAGTCTATTTCCTTTGCCAGATTGGGGAAGTTCTCCTTTATTATTTGTTCAAGTAACTTTTCCACTTGTTGCTCTTCCTCTTCCCCTTCTGGTGCCCCTACAATTTAGATGTTGGAATGTTTAAAGATGTCCTGGAGGTTCCTAAGCCTCTCCTCATTTTTTCTGAATTCTTATTTCTTCATTCTTTCTGTTTGATTGTTCCTTTCTTCCTTCTGGTCCACTCCATTGATTTGAGTCCATTTTCTTCTCATCACTATTGGTTCCCTGTGCATTTTCCTTCATTTCACTTAGTGTATTCTTCATTTTTTCATCTAATTTGTGACCAAATTCAACCAATTCTGTGAGCATCCTGACCACCAGTGCTTTGAACTGTGCATCTGATAGGTTGGCTATCTCTTAGTCGCTTAAAAATATTGGCTCTTGAGCTTTGATTTGTTCTGTTTGAACCATTTTTTTTTTGGGGGGGGTCTGGTCGCACTTGTATGTGTGAGGGGCGGAGCCTTAGGTGTTCACCAAGGCAGGGCAACCCAGTTGCTGGGTTGTGGCACTGTATGTAGGGGTGGGGTCTGAGAGGGAACAATGGTGCTTGCTCTGCTCTCTGTAGGATTTCAGTCCCTTCTGCTGTTTCCCCAGGCAAACGGGGCCTTTCTGGTGCTAATTCCCATGTGCGTGGGCTTGTGCACATTCTAGGACCCTGTGGGTCTCTCCAACGAACTCTCCTTGTGAGGCTGGGAGTCTCTCCCCATGCCTCAACCCCCAAAGGTGTTTTCAATAAGTGCCTTGAGGCTCTATTTCCTGGCGCTAGGATCCTTGGACCGCCGGGTCAGTTCAGTGCCTTCACAATTGCCGCCTTGCTGGGTCTGCCCGTTGCTACCCCGGGCCCGGGGTCTGCCTGCTGAGGTCTTGCACGCCCGGGATGCCTCGTGTGCCTAGTGCCACCACTTTTTGTGACGCGATGCCTGTCCACCCAGCTGCCTGACTCCGCCACTCCTACTGGTCTGGATGAATGTGTCTATTTCAACTCCTTGGTTGTCTGACTTACATACAGTTCAATTTCCTGTCAGTTCTGGTTGTTATCTTATTTCTGAATTGTTGCTGTACTTATTTTGGTTGTGCGAGGAGGCACAGTGTGTCTACCTACACCTCTATCTTGGCTGGAAGTTAAAGAGAGCATCTTAAAAGTAGCAAGAGAAAAGCTGTTAGTTATCTACAAAGGAGTTCCCATAGCACTGTCAGCTGATTGCTCAAAAGAAATTTTGCAAGTCAAAAGGGACTGGCAAGAAATATTCAAAATCATGAAAGCAAGGGCCTATAGCCAAGATTGATCTACCCAGCAAAGATATTATTTAGAACTGAAGGGTTGATAAAGAGCTTCCCAGACTAGAAAAAAAGGAGTTCATCATCACCAAACCATTATTACATGAAATGTTAAAGGGACTTATTTAAGAAAAGATCAAAACTATAAATAATAAAACAGCAATACATATATATATACATATATATATATATATATGTATATATATATAAAATCAATTGAAACTAAAAAAAGAAAGCAAACAGGGACAGAATTGTGGATGTGCAGGGCATTTTGATGGTTGCCAGATGGGAAGGGTGTGTGGGGGAATGGGTGAAGAGGTGAGGGGACTAAGAAGTACAAATAGGCAGTTACAGAATAGCTATGGGGATGTATAGTACAGTATAGGAAATGGAGTAGCCCAAGAACTATGGATGACCCAGGGACATGAACATAGGTGTGGGGATTGCCTGTGGGAGTGGTGGGTGCTGGGTGGTGGGGGGCAAAGGGGGAAACTGGGACAACTGTAATAGCATAACCAATGAAACATTTTAAAAAGAGAATAGATTCTGATACACACACACACACACACACACACACACACACACAGAGTTACAGATGGTTTAGACAGTAACTTGGATCCTTAAAAATCTTACCAAGCTGTGTGATCAAAACTCTAGTACTTTCTACTTCTCAAAGTATGGGAAAGAAAAGATACGCCGGTATTCAACAAAATGACCTAATTTTTTTTTTTTTTGAAAAACAAGATAATCTCTTCATGGAAGTTTCTGCATTTCTGGTTTTAAGGGACCTCCCACATATACAATCCATGTTCATGTTCAAAGTTCCCCAAAACAGCCAGCACAATTCCAAATTGTGTCCTTGGTGAAATTATGCCAGTTAGAATAACATACTAGTTAGTATTATAATAAGAAAAGATAAAAAGAATAGGTGTTTTGCCTGGAAAAGGTGCAATTTCAGATTGAGAAGACTTTGTGAGAACTGGATTGGTCCTTAAAGGCAGTGCTTGGGTAACTTCATCTCTCTGAGCTTGACCAAAGGCCAATGGTCACCAATAACAGGCTAGAGAAAACTGCCTGAAATAAGGGAAGACTAAGGAAGTTCTTACAAAGTTTTGAAATGATGTAAGACAAAGGAATGCCGATTTGGGGAATCCCCCAGGGTCCAGATTGAGGATGGAGAGGCAGACTATAAGGAAGTTCCCATGATCTTGGCCCCCAGTAGTCACACCTTTGGGTAATTTCCCTCTTTCCTGAGTAAGGGGAGTGCCTGAGACTTGATTCTAAACAAAGGAATGCAACAATGGTAATGGAATGTACATGAGTGCATTCACACGATCACATAAGAGTGTAGCACACACATCTTACTGTCTCCCTATGCTGGTTTTGACTAAGCAACTTGCCATGAACCTTTATAGCCATAAGGAAATGAATCTGCCACCAATCTGAGAGGACTTAGAAGCCAACCCTTTCCTAGTCAAGGCTCTACAAGAACCTGGCTTAGGCTGACACCTTTTCTGGAGCCTTGTGAGACCCTGGGTAGACTGCCCTGCTAAGCCCAGAAATGGTCAGATAATAAGCATGTGTTGTTTTAAGCAGCTAAGTTTATGGTAATTTGTTACACAGCAATAGAAATCCAATGCACTAGCTTATGGCCATATCTTCCCTATAGATTTTTCTTCAAATCTAGACAATTTTATTTCTAAATATTCAATATAACATTTAGATCTTTTTTCCAGTTGTGGGACTACTGAGGTTAAAAACACTTTCACAAGCTTTATTATAATCTTTGAGTAAAAATATGTCCTTTCCTCCTATTTTAAACACTATTATTTCCACAGTAAAAGGAATGACAATAAATTAGCAGGGGCCAGCTTTTGTGTATGCAATTGTCTCAACCAAGTGCAGCAAGGGCATTCTTTGTTTGGCATACAGGTCCCTCTTCAGTTAGACTGAGCTCTTTGTAGTTAGTGTTCCTTCCAGGCCTTACATGTACTGGATATTCAATAATTATTGAATTGAAACTGTAACTGTCTTTATTAACTAAGAATATCTGTTCTGGCCCTGGCCAGACGGCTCAATTGGTTGGACCATTGTCCCATACACCAAATAGTTGTGGGTTTGATTCCCAATCAGTGTACATACCTAGGTTGTGGGTTTGAGCCCCAGTTGGGGTTCATATAGGAGACAACCAATTGATCTCTCTCCCCCCGCCCCTCTTGCTCTCAAATCAATAAACATATCCTTTGGTGAGGATAAAGTGAAAAAAAAAAAAGAATATCTGTTCTGGCTTTATTTCAGGCAGTACTTCTGCTTGGTGCCCAAAAACCTAAAGATCTAAGATAGGATGGATACTGGGCTCACAAACAATGAATATGCCAATGTTATTGTTGCTTGAGACAAATTTTACAAGAAAGAAAACAAAGGGGAACTAGAATTTGAATTCTTCACCATCAACAGCATTTCCCAGTACTGCACCTCTCCTGAGATTCTTACTTTTCCCCACCTTTCCAGGTATCTAAAATAGAAATAAAAGAAAGGAAATAATTCCATCTAAAAGATTTCTCCCTTCTTTTTCTTTTTTTTTTTTTTTAAAGCAACCTCAGCTGTTGGCAGAGGTTATTTAGGAATTCAAAGAACATCAGTAAACTTTAGGACAAATAGATTAATAATTAGGAAATAGATACTGTTTTTGTCTGATCTAGCTGCGTCCAAGGTTTAGTGACTTTGGCTGAAACTCTGTTCTCTGGCAGAAGAGGCTGTAAGCTCCTGAAGGGCAGCTCTGGATTTCTCCAATACCTAACTAAATGCTCACTCAAAAAGACACTCAGAATTTGTTGAATTCAGTTAAATGAGACAAATATTTTCCCCCATGTTAATGATGATCGCTAAGGTGACATATGAACCTAGATGGTTCAAACAATGCCATTCTCACTATCAGGGGCAAAGGGGAGAGTACTAAACCAAACAGCACTATAACCTTCAAGCCTATAGTAAGAAAGAATCACACCATACTTAGTAAAAACAACTAGCATTTAAAATATATTTTAATGAGAGCACTTTCTCAACACTGTTAAATAAAAATGATTTGCACTTTCTAATCTGAAACAGCTCTGGCATTAGGACTTAATTGCTTCCTGGTCCATGGGGCTTAAACGCCACTGCAGCACTAACTCTCCAGTGCTCTTGAGGCAGGTGTGAGCCATGTCCTCCTCTTTTGGAAGTCCTTGTGGCAACCTCAGGGGCCTGATTCTGTGGCACAAGAAAATGATTTTAGAATTATAGTAGGCAATGACTTTTTAAAAACCTCTGAAGTAACAAACAACAAACCTTATCAAATGTTTAACCACTTTCAGTTTTGCATTCACTGAAGGGATGTTCTTGTGAACTTGAGGAGTATGAGCCTACAAACAAAAGGAAACAGCGTTAGAGATCAATTTCAAAAACACGGATGGTCCCACGTTTCAGTAAAATGTTAAGATTAAGGCTCGTTCTGCCAAAATCAAACTTTCAAGTGCACTCCATTAAATAGTACATTTAAAAACAAAAAAAAATTTAAATGTATACCTTAAACTTAAAAAAAGTCAAATTTAAAGTAAATTTAAACAAAGCTAAAGATGACTAAGATAGTTGCATACTTTTTCTAATCCAAGCATCTTTATTACATCTTTTTCCCAATATGGACGTCTTTTTATACTTTTTATTCTGGTAACAATATGGAGTTTATGAGGGTGCTGTGGATCCCCACCATATTTTTCATGATCTTCAGGTGAAGGCTGAAACACCTAGAAAGGAAGAATCAGTGGTAAATTTTCAATTTATATAATTTATATGTACCTCCTTTTTTCCTAAAAACACCCCCCAAATAACTACATAATGATGTCATCCTTGATCTTTCTATAATCCTCAACCTTAAACTGAACATTTCTACTAGTATAATTACTTAGATAGGTGGAATAGAAGAATTTCATACTCTTAAGAAAAATATCACACAGGCAAGGATTTTGGGTTTTTTTGAAGGGCAAGGCAGGAACAACCAGATGACTCTAAAGAGCTTGGATGGGCATTGTGGGAATTTCTTCCTTTCCTGTTGCTGGGACATCCTGGTGGCTGCTTTTGGTTTGGGCTGTCCCGTACCTAAGGCAGGGAAACGGTGGTCATGAAAAAGACAACAATTCACTAGAGCAGACCAACTCTAGGCTCTCACTTGTTATGAAAAGTGGAAAGTATGTGCTGGGGTACAAGCAGACTCTGAAGATAATCATACCAGTCAAAGCACAACTGGTCACCCTCTCGAACAACTGTCCTGCCTTGAGGAAATCATAACTAGAATACTATGGCATGTTGGCCAAGACTGGCGTCTATCACTACAGTGCAATAATACTGAATTGGGCCCAGCGTGTGGAAAATACTATGGAGTATACACACTGGCTATCACTGATCCAGGTGATTCTGTTATCATTAGAAGAATACCAGAACAGACTAGTGAAAAGTACATCGTGCGAAATTTTTCTTTAATAAAACTGGCCAGTGCTCGGTTTAAAAACAAACAAACAAAAAAAATAAATAAAAATAAAGACCTCAGATGCTAGGAGAATGTATTAGCACTATATGAACTGCACCCCCTACCCCTATTCAAATGGAAGAACAAGCACGTAAGTCTAAAATGATAATAAAACATGAATATGATTTAAATGTACAAAGTACTATGAGAATACAGACAAATGCCTATGAAAGATCAGAAACAGCTCTACAGAGCTGACATTTGAACTAATTCTCTAAGGATTAAAAGGTTCTAGGAAGCTGAAGCTATGCCAGAAAAACTTCTAAGTATATAAAATTTCCATTAAGTATATCAAAAACTTAAAGTACATCCATGTTCCTCAATAGACTAAATAAATTATGATGCATACATTCTAAATAAAACTAATAATAAAATTAAAAAATATGATATAACTAAACAAATTATAATGTATCCTCCTGGATACAATGCTGACACTAAAACAAGGTTCACTATCTTGTAGGTACTAACATTAAGATGACCATAATACATTACTGAGCCATGGCTGGCGTAGCTCAGTGGATTGAGCATGGGCTGCGAACCAAAGTGTCGCAGGTTCAATTCCCAGTCAGGGCACATGCCTAGGTCACAGGCCACAGCCCCCAGCAACCACACATTGATGTTTCTCTCTTTCTCCCTCCCTTCCCTCTCTAAAAATAAATAAATAAAATCTAAAAAAAAAATACATTACTGAGGAAAACAAACAAACCTCCCACAAGAACAAAAAAACCAAACCTTTCCACACCACTAGGTATAGAAGGGTCTTGCATTTGTTTCATCTGTACCATATATATGATATATATTATCTGATTCTAAGAATTATATACATGGTCCAGAAGAAGTAAGACCTGCTTGAGGGTGATTGATAGGATAATAACATGAGTGTAATAATTTATAGTTTTAATTTGAACATTTCACCTAAAATGTCATATGGTGTGCTTGAGCATTATATTGCTATGTTACAGAATTACATGCTTATGATTCTGTAATAAAAAAGGAGCGTTATTTGTGCCAGACCCCGCTGTGTGTATGCTTACATATGTACAAAAGTTGCAAAGACATGTTTCTGTCCCTCTCTTTCTCCCTCCCTTCCCTTCTCTCTAAAAAATAAATAAATAATTAAAATTCAGAGATAATTTTTAAGAGAGGAAGAGAAATAGCAATGTGTGGTTGCATGTTGTGTGCTTCTTACTGGGGACCTGGCCCACAACCCAGGCATGTTCCCTGACTGGGAATCGAACTGGCGACCTTTTGGTTCACATGCCGCGGTGCTCAATCCACTAAGCCACATCAGCCAGGGCTAAATAAAGAAAATCTTTTAAAAACAATGTAGCTTTCATTATTTCCAGAACCTGTTTTGTTTCCTAAGACCCCAGACACTTCTTTAATGGAAAACAACTTAATATTTATAAATTCATGTTTTTCCTGAGTTCTAGCCAGAGATTTTCTAGTTAACTTGCGATTTATCATTCTTTGGATTAAAATACAGTTGACTAAAAAAAGAAGAAAAAAAAGAAAAAGAGCTATCAAGTCATGGCAAGACATCAAGGCTCCTTAACTTCTTACTGCTAAGTGAACAAAGCCAGTCTGAAAGGGTTACATACTGTATTATCTGACTTATATGACACTCTAGAACAGGCAAAACTATAGACAGTAAAATGATCAGTGGTTGCCAGGCATTGGGGGATGAGGAGGAGGGATGAAGAGGCATAGCACCGAGAATTTTTAGGGCAGTGAAACTATTCTGTATGATATATAATGGTGGATATAGGACACTATGTATTTGTCAAAGCCTAGAGTGTACAACCCAAAGAGTGAACCCTGATGTTAGTTATAGACTTGTTAATAATAATGTGCCAATACTGGTTCATCGACTTAATAAATGTCTACTAATGTAAGATATTGATAGGATAACTGTGTACATGGGGGAGGGACTATATGGGACTTCTCTGTACTTTCTGTTCTATTTTTTCTCGAAACCTAAAACTTCTCTAGGAAATAAAGTCTATTTATTTAAAAAACAATGCAAAACAAAAATCAGTGGGGGGGCCTAACCACTGATCTTTGAAAAAATGATACATACACATAAACCTAACAGAGGCCTCAAAGATCAAAGTGGTAACAGTCAATATAGTAAAGGAGTATGAAGAGCCACAAAGGCAGAGTTTAGGAGCAGGAGGAAGACTATTTTCTCTGGACAATGGTGATATGAAAATACAAAATATTAAGGGGAGAAAATCATATATGGTAATAAACAGATTCTAAGATGATTAAAACCCACTACTTCGAAGGCAAGTGGCACATGTTTATTTTTAATAATCATTTATATAAATCCTTCTACATTGTAAACTCTGCACTACTACCTACATCCACAAATGATTTAACATAAAACTTTTCAATATTACAAAGATAAGAACCTTTAAAAATAACATACTTAAAAATAGTAACATTAAAAAAAAAACCCTTGTTCTTACTTTATCTGGAATTCTTGACTTGGTAAATTTATGACGAATCCAATCTGTACAAACAAGAGACTCCACACCTTTTGTCAGAGTCTAAAATACGATATAAAACATTAGTTTTTTAGACGTCTATCTAGTGCAGAAATTCATACTCACCAATTTTGAGGTGACAAGAAGAAGTTTGTTTTTACTTAAGCTGTAATTTTTACATGTTTATCTCAGCCCCCAACATGAATCTAACCACTAACATGTAAAACAAAAGCACATAATTATAGACTTCTATATCAGGCATTGGCAATATTTTTCTGTACAGGACTAGGTAGTAAATATTTCTAGGTTGGGGCTATATGGTTTCCATTGTCAAGTTTCAACTCTGCCACTATAGGGCAAAAATAGCCTATGCAATATATAAACAAAAAGGCTCGGCTGTGTTCCAATAAAACTTTAGTTACAAAAAAGGTAGTGTGCTGCATTTCGCCTACAGGGCGTAGTTTTGCCAACCTCTGCTCTAGACAATTCACCTTCAACAATACAACATAAAAGAAAAGTCAAATGAGTGTCCAGTTTTCTTTCTAGTCCCAAAAATTCCATCACTCCTAGTTCCTATCTCTTGTTCCCTTCCTATAATCCTCCAGGCTTGTTTCTCTGTCTGCAAAAGAGAAAGAAGTCAGGGCCAATCCTTCATACCAGGAAACTTTCCTTTGGACAGGCAAGAATTATTCCCATCATGCCCTCCCTATACTGCAGAGATGGCATGAACAAACAACAGGAGCAGAAGGAGGAGGGGATGGGGAAGACAAAGGAAAAACACAGGTTTGTACATGCCACCAACACTGGGCTTCTGTGCCTACCAGCTGTGAGAAATGAATAACCTTTCAGAGGGTCAGTTTCCTCAGCCACAAGAAGGCAATAATGCTGACCACATGGGATTAATCTGAGGTTAAGGCAATGTATGTAAAGCACCTGACATTACTATTAACTACAGCAGAAGGTCTATATCTAGACTGTGGCCCTCACGAATAGGTTAGGCTGCACCACCACAGTTTCTAAAAGAAAGACTTGAAGGAATGATATGACAGTATGAACATTAATGGTCTCTGGGAGATTGTTTTTCTTCTTTCTGCTTTTCTATAGTTTTCTGATTTTCTAAGATTAAATATACTCTTTTCATAATTAAAGGGAAAAAAATCCCTAAAACTTTAAAAAGATTAAGTCAGACCAAGGGGAATCAATGCTGGCCATTTTTTAGCAGCATATTCTCCAGGAAAAGATCTTTAGTGATTCCAAATGTTTAGTGATAACAACCGATAAGCCATAAACAAGCAAAATTAACCCTCAACATTAAAAATAAATTAACATATAAATTAGTTAAGTTTTACTTGCTCATATGTTGTGTTCATTAGAAAAGAGAAAGAAAAATTTTAAAGAAATAGAAAAAAAAGATTAGTCTTGAAAAGAAACACTTACATGTAGTTTTCCTGGGGGCCTCTGAACTATTGAGCGCAAAATCGCAGCCATGAGCACAGTGACTGTCCTCTGCAGGGGCTGTGAAAAGTAGAGAACAGGTCTGTGGGTCAAATCTGTCCCAGAAATGAACAGGTCTCCCCTCTGTTTAAAAAATGCAGCAAGTTAATTGTAAACTTGATTGAAATTTAAGAGTTAAATCTTGGTTATTTTAATACAATAAGGGAAAGAGTTAAGGTATGGTAAATATTGTATTCAGAGTTCAGCAAAACCATGGGTAGTAATTATATATTAACCACATCCCATTTTCACCAAACGAGTTAGAGCCTCTGTTGCTTAAATAAAAATGGAGCAATGAGGGTTACTATCATTTAAAAAATCTTCTTCAACAATGAGGGGGAAAAAGAATGTTTTGTCACACAATCAAAAAAAATTAAAGAGCTAACGGGACTGAAGAAATTCCTACTCATTTTAGTAGAAATGACAACCCTCTTACTTTATGTAGGAGGAAAATGAATTCCAGAAAGTTCAAGCACTCACATAAGGGCACCCAACTATCCAGGCAAGTATATCGTCTGAAACTCAATTCCATTAATAGCTAGTTCAGTGCATTTTCACTAAATCATAACCCCTTTCTGTAAAAAAGTAAAGCAGAGTTCTCTTTTTTGCTTACTTGTATTTTTAAACTATTCTTAACAAACACACATTGCTTCCATGACTGAAAAAGTCATGTTTATTTAGACACATAATGATTATAGCCCACTACACTGACATATTCTGAGCAGAAAGATAAGGTGCATGACTTCAGACCTCAAACATTACAATACAACTTAACAGTTTCTAGTTCAAATCAGCCACTGATTGCTTGGCTGGTTGTTATGCATATTTTGTACTGAGGCTTTCTTAGAAGAGATGCTTAGTTCTCTGGCCCTCCTAATCAAATAGGTAATGCAAAATTATTTTCTCTACCATACTTCTGCCTCCTAAACATTATATACAGTACTAACCCAATTCATTTAGCTTCACACTTTGTTAAATCTTTCCCTTATCACTTAGAATTCAACAAAAGCCTACTCCTAATTGGCCTACCTGCTTCCATTCCAACTTCCATATAAAGTCTTTTCTCCATAGCAGCAATCATCTCATTAAGCCCTAAATCATATCATGTCAACTCCTCAGCTCAAAACCTTCCAAAGAGCTAGGTTTGTCACTTGGAGGAGGTTACACATAAGGGAAGGCTAGAATGATCCCTATGGTCCACTGACATTGGATTAGAGCTGGAACTCAGCTTCAGCTCAGTACAGATACTGATGGATATAGACAAAATTATAGACATGGATGCAACATGGACTGTTCTGTTACCCCAGAGGACCTAATAGGAATGGCATCCCAGTAAAAATGACCACACCCAGTGACCACATCTTAGTTTGTAATAGAATTCTCTAATGAAAGGAACCAGGGTTCCTTGGAGAAACAGTAAAGGGCTGCAGCAGGCGATATATAAAGGCGAGTCTGGAACACCTTGTAGTGTTAGAAAGGCACACTCAAAAAATAAAAATGACACGGGGATGCCAAAGGGACATAGGAGCCAACTAAAGGAGCTCCCAATGGCTAAAGCTGGAATAATATGAGCAACAAAATAAGCAACAAAGTACCGGTTTATAATCCAAATTATAAAATAACCATGAGTACACAATGACATAATTAAGTGAATAAATGAAACTAATGAGAAGAAACAAATCTTCCTTTACAGAAGAATTCCAAATAGTTTATGGTTGAGCAAAACCACTCACCCCTGAAGTGTGGGCTATGTTCAATGATCTGCTCCCAGAGGACAATTTAGCAAGGGAAGAAACTAACACTACACTAGAGAAACCTGACAAATGGCCAGCCAGGTGATAAAGATTAACATCAACTGTGATAAAGGTCAAGTTACTAGCCTGTACCCTGGATAGAAAGAGAATGGCACTTCACCTCCGTCCATAGTCTTCTTCCCAAAACCCCGTAACACCCCTCTTAAGAGACAAACATCAAACTCTAATTGAGGGATATTGTACAAAATACGTGACTGCCTCAAAATTGTCAAGGCCATGATAAACAGAAAAGTCTGAGAAGTTGTCATAGTCAGGAGCCTAAGAAGGCATGATGGCTAAATGTAGTAATGTAGTATTTTGGATGGGATTCTGGAACAGTAAAAGGACATCAGGTAAAAAACTAAGAAAATGTGAACAAAGTATGAACTTTTGTTAATAATGTATCAACCAATATTGGTTCATCAATGATACTAATGTAAGATGTTAATAAAAGGGGAGACTAGACATGGAGCATACAGGATCTCTGTGCTATCTTCACAAGTTTCTAAAATCTAAAACTATTCTAAAATTAAATTTATGTATTAAAAACTGGAAAACCAGCCCTGGCTGGCGTAGCTCAGTGGATTGAGCTCGGGCTGCAAACCGAAGTGTCGCAGGTTTGATTCCCAGCCAGGGTACATTCCTGGGTAGCAGGCCATAACCCCCAGCAACCACACATTGATGTTTCTCTCTCTCTCTCTCTCTCCTTCTCTTCTCTCTCTAAAAATAAATAAATAAAATCTTAAAAAAAAACAAACTGGAAAACCTCCAATGCCTGTCCATTTCAATCAGAGTGATAACCAGTCCATATCCCCCACTCTTTGGACTCAATGGCCAATTAATTAGTCTCTTGCTCAGTTGCTAAACATATTGGTCCCCTTGCTGGTTCTGGTACTCACCAGCTAGGCACACTCCCTGGTACTGGCTGTTCCTGCTCCTGATATTCACATGGTTAATTCCCTTACTTCCTTCAATTTTTGGCTCAAATCTCATCTTTTTAATAAGGTCTACTCTGATGCCATTATTTAACATTTTGACCCACAACACAGCCATCAGCACTCCCAGCCCCTCTTCTTCTACTTCATTTTCGTTCCACAGCACTTATCTTCTTATATAACTTAAGTTGTTGTTTATTGTTGATCTCAACCCAATAACATGTTAGTTCCAATAGAACAAGGATCTTTAAAGTTTGTTCTGTTTTTGGTCTGTTTTGTCTATTCATATGTATCCCAAACATCTACCTAAAGCATCATCTGATATGTAGTAGATGCTCAATTAATTTTTGCTATTGAACAGATTTCATTCATTGGTATGAAATTTCAGTTACAGACTTCAGAAGGTGTAACAGTCAAAAGTTATGTTTTAGCAAAGGTTATTCTTAATAATTAGGCATATAATTCTTGGACCTTGAAACAATTATATTATCTCCTCCTGTACAATAACTTTTTAAATCAAAAGCATTATTTTTTTTCTTTTTTATTGAATTTATTGGGATGCCACTGGTTAACAAAATTATACAGCTGTACAATTTCACGATACATCATCTGTACACTGTATTGTGTGTTTATCACCTCAAGTAATAACTTTTCTCTTGCATTAATGCAAAAACAGGAAAATACATGCATCATATGAAAAGCAGGATCTTTATCTCCATTTTTAAAAATGTTTGTGAATGTGAGTGTGTACACAGAAAAACTGGAAGGCTATCAGAAAAACATTAACATCACCTCCCCAACCCTACCCTCTGGGGGGGAGGCGCAGGCTCCCACAGCAATTTTTCCCCTTTCCTCCTGTAAAGTCCGATAGTATTTTTGTTGTCCTTTTTACAATGACCATGAATGCAACTGTTCTTAAAAAAAACCCACAAAACTATTTTCTTTCCTAAAAAGACATCTGTATTATGATAAGGAGGGGGGCGAGCATTAATAAAAATGACAAATACAAAACTCCCCTTCCGATAAACCGAAATCTGAAGGCAGTAAGTGCCTTTTGGCAAAAATAGGCAGGACAAGCAGTTTTCGGTGGGTGGAGGCCAAAAACATGGTTGCAAAAATCACAGCTTTCAGTAAAATGCCAAGTATTTTAACTGCTAACTTCGGAAAGTGCACCTTCTAAAATGCAGAGACTTAAAAATAAAGCAATTTTTAAAATCTTCATTAACAACCAATTAAATGCTGATGCCCAATGGGAAGCTAGAGTTATGAATAAAGCAGACGCATAGAAAAGGCTAAATTCAAACTTTAGTTTCCTTCCCTGGGTTTCCAGCGCAGGCGGCTCCACCCCTGAACTTTGAGCATCCGGGCTTACTCAAAAAGCGGTGTGTCCCGGAATCCCTCCAACCAGGAAACGGGATCAGGTCGGCCAATGGCTTCCTGGAAGCCAAAGGGACACTGCCGGACACAGGCCCATTTAGGTTACTGTGACCCGCAAACGCAAATAGGGAAAATCAACGCGCATCTACATACGGTTCCCAGATACGTATGTAACTCCCGGCAAGAATGCAGTAGTTTTGGCCAGGTATTCCCCACTCACTAGCTGTTGCTAAATGTTAAGCCTGAACTTACCCACGGACAGGACACTGAACAGAGAAGAGACCATGAAGTGCTACACTCATAGGCTGCCGTCACAGTACGCGCAAAACATGGCACTTTTGTTCCGGCTGAGTCCCTCCCACTCAAGGACCTAAAGAAGACCGAACAAGCATGCTGTGTCACGTGATCGCTCCCGGAAGCGCGGCAGACTAGTCCTGCTGTGGCTGGGTTTGAGATTGAGACCCATTTCCAGAATTATGGCAAAATCTGGGCGGGGGCTGGATTCCGAGAGCGTAGCTGCAGCCACTGTGCTAAAGCGAGCGGTGGAGCTAGATTCCGAGTCCCGATACCAGCAGGCTCTGGTGTGTTACCAGGAGGGGATTGACCTGCTCCTGCAGGTTCTAAAAGGTGAGCAATGAACTGTGGAGGGAGAATTACAAGAAAAGGCGCAGCTCCCCGCTGTGTCGGGGGGTGTAGTGTTAGAATTAATGATTTCTGTGCACCACGAGGAAGCAAGTACAGAAAGTGACACATTTTACAGGTACACTATCTTTACTAGATTGATGTCATTAAGAAACGGGGTACTACTATAGATTTTTAAGAGATGTAACCAAATGGAATATATAAGCCTTGGTAGGACTTGTGTTTGAACAACACTGCGTAGAAGACATTAAAAAAATTTGTCCTCACTCAGGACATCTTATTTTTATTGGTTTTAGAGAGAGAAAGGAAGGGAGAGGGGATTGGTAGACTCCTCTGGGCGCAGACTCCGGATCGTAGTCCCTGGGCGGGGCACCAATCCCCTCAACCAGGGTTTGAGCTCTGACTGGAGATCGAAACCACCACCTTTGCGTAACTGGGCGGCGCTCCAACCAACTGAGCCACACTGGCCAGGTCTAGAAGACATTTTTTTTTTTTTTTGCAAGATTGGACCAGATTGGGCCCGTTCAGGGTGGTATGGCCCTAGACTAGAAAGACATTTTTAAATCAATTGGGAAAATTAGAATGTGGATTTGGTAACATTAATATTACTAGCTTTGCTAGGCAGTCAGGTTTCTTCAAAAACTTTTTAATTTTTATTTTTTAAAAACTTTAATTTTTAGAGATGCAGACCGAAGTACTTCGGGAGGAAGTGTGGCAACAACGCTAACAATTTTAAAATCTAGGTTCTGTGTAATAAGGATGTTTATTACACTGTTAACCTTTTCTGTTTAAACAGTTTAATTAAAAGTAAAAATAAAATCACATAGTTGTAGAAGAAAAAGGTTTTTCTTGTGAGAAATAGGCTAACTGGTTGATATTCGGTGTGAGAAATGCTAAATAGGTTGTGGGTGGGGACGGTGAGACTGTTACGTAATTATTCATTGTGGTGAAGTACCCAAATAACCTGAACACTAGCGCAATCTTTGGTACTTGTAGACACCTAGTAACTTTTAAATTAAGACCAGCCTGTTTCCCTCATCTTTTCGCTTGTTTATAAAGTTAAGTGTTACAGGAGTTTTGAGACAGCAGAGGGCGCTCTTCACTGTTCGTTACTTCCCTCAACTATAAAACTGCCTTGTGTGGGACCCATTTAATGACTATGAGGATGATAACAATGAGTATTATCATTTATGAGTGGTGATGGCTAGGCACTGTGCAGAACACATTAAAAGCATGATCTCGTTTCATACTTAAGTTGCCCTGTAAAGTAGGAGGTGATTTATCCTCAAAACATAAAAAAGTAGTTTGCTTTCCAATTCTGCTCCAGTCAGTAGACTTACAATTGGAAGCCAAAGCTTTAAAGACTCTGGAGTACTGACTCCCAAAAAGAGAGGTGGTGTACACTGTTGGTCAGGTGGGACACTGCTCAAGTCCTGAGGCTTTAGAAATCTGAAGCAGGAGGATCATAGGAATGGGGCTCCAGTGTGCTCCACTGATCCTATAGAAGTTACAGAGATAGTGACATGATTTTATAGGTTAAGGTATGGATGGAAGATAACTCTAATACAGGGGATTAGTGTCAGGAGAGAGCTGTAGATAAGTGCAGTGCAGATTTAAACAGTTAAAGGTTATTTGGCGGTGGAAAGGTGGATGTGGCTTTCGTGATATAGGACCTTTGGAGGAATAACTAGAATTTCAGAAATCATAAATTCAGCTAATAGTGTTCAAAGTCTGTCTGTGCTGTTTAACCAAATAAGTGGTTCATTTCAGTTCAACATATGTCTTATAGGGAAGAGTGAGAAGTAAAGATTAAAGGTAGATTGGGTCTTGCAGGACACTTGTGGATGGCCTTGACTGGAGGAGATATTAATTAACTCACTTCATAGACAAAGACAAACCATTTAAAGTTTTTAACCAAGGAATGATGTAATTAAAGCTGCATCTCAGGGCTCATCTCTCTTAGGAATATGCTCTTCTCCCGAATATTTGCATGGTCTACTCCCTTACCTCCTCAGTCTTCACACAAGTATCACCACCTTTGTGAGGACTTCGCTGACCTCCAGGCTAACATTCCAACCCCACCCCAGGACTCCTTCATCCTTCTTCCTTTATTTTCTTTAATACCATTTATCATCATCTAACATACATGTTTTACCAATTCAATTGTAGTCTTTCCTCCCACCTGAATGATTGGGGAGAAGTGTGTCTGTTTTATTAACTGCTGTACCCCCAGTGCTTAGAACAATGCCTGGCATGTAGTAAATTCTCAGTAATTATTTCTTGAGTAATCAGTGAATATGGCAAGATTGTAGGAAACACAGTAAACTGAAGAGACTGAAGTCAAGCAGACCAGTTAAGATGCTCCTGTAGGAATTAAAATGAGAGGTGATAAGGGGTCTGAATGAATCAGGGAGGTGATGCCAATATTAGGAGAAGGGGGAGACAGTATGGATATTGAATTGCTGACATTGGCACATGACCAAAAAACTCATGCGACTCACGTCGCATATTGCTTTATTAGTGCTTTATTATTGCAGTGGTCTGGAACTGTAGCTTCAATGTCTCTGGAGTATGCCTGTATGTGTATATTAATAAACCTACATATACCTTCTAGTTGTGTTGATTGAAAGGGTCTAGATGTAGTGATAGGACTTTCCTAGTAGCAATGAACACACTTAGCACCCAGAAGTTGATTTCTTGATACCATTCTCCAATAAAAGGAACCAGGGCTCCTTGGAAAAATGCTTCCTTCCAGGGCTGGGGCAGGGAAAACGCAAGAAGAATTTAAACATTTTGTACCAGGAAGTAAGGAAATGCTAAAAAAATGATGGGGCATGTTGAAAGAATACAGGAGCCAACATGTATTTTCTCAACTCTTTCTCAACTGAGAGCTCTCAACAAGAGCTCTCAAAGCCAAAGCTAATAAAATTTGAGCAAGAAAATAATGATAGTATTGGATTACAACCCATAGAATAAAAGAAATACCATGAATCCATATTGATATGTTAATAATTAAATAAATAAATAGATGGGGAGAAGGAACAGTTGTTCCTTACAGTTGAATTCCAATTAATAAATAGGAATGATGGCAACAGAAAATCACCATTTGGCAAACATTGTAGTAATACTTTTTGGCAAGGACTATTGATGGAGGCTAAAATTAATGGGTAAAAGAGTGGTGAGAAACAGGATGTCTTCCCACAAGATACTTAATTACAGAGGAGAAAATAAGTGATTTTACAGTGCAGAGATTTGTGAATTCCACCTTAACCAAGTGATCAGAGTTAACATCACCAGAAATAAGACACATTGACATCATGTACCCACAACACTTCTGTGATTTTTTTTTCCCCCCAAAAAAGCATAACTTCAATCTGGTCCTGAGAAAACATCAATAGCCTAAACTGAGAGACATTCTGCAAAATAACCACTATTCTTCCTAAAGGACAAGGTCATAAAAGGCAGAGAGACTAAGGAACTATTACAAATTGGAGGACACAAAGGAGGAGACATAATAATTAAATGCCAATTGGGATTCTGGACCAGTGGGATCCTGGACCAGAAAACAAACTGTTCAGTGAAAAAATTGAGGAAGTAGGTTTATAGATGATTTAATAGTGTTGTATGAATTTTAATTTCCTAACTCTGATAACTGTACTATGGTTATGTGATATGTATTTTTTAATTTAATTTTTAAAAGATTTTATTCATTTTTAGAGAGAGGGGAAGGGATGGAGAAAGAGAGGGAGAGAAAGAACAAAGTGTGGTTGCGTCTCATGTGCCTCCTACTGGGGACCTAGCCCGCAGCCCAGCCATGTGTCCTGACTGGGAATCGAACCAGTGACCCTTTGGTTTGCAGACCTGTGCTCAATCCACTGAGCTACACCAGCCAGGGCTGGTTATGTGATATATTAATATTAGGGGAATATGGATGAAAGGAGCCTGTACTATTTTTGCATAAACATAAAATTAATTCGAAATAAAGTGTTTAAAAAACTGAATGTTTCAAAAAAGAAGGAACCAGAAGTAATTTGGTAACTGGGTTTGGGAGGGTGGGACTTTGGGGTAAGATTTTATTGATAATGTATATTCAAAATTACCTTACATTTAGGGGTGGCTAGAAAAATGATTGAGCAAAAACTATAATGGAGAAGTCTGGAAGAAAAGTTGGTTTTGTGGAAGAAAGATAGACACTGTTAGCTCTCTTTTGATTATGATAAGATTTCCAACCTGTGGGTGATTAGGTCAAAATAGTGCGCAGACTGAGATTTGACGTGTCATAAGCCACTTTACCAGATTTGGTGTAACCAGCAGGGAGACACAGTGTCAGAGTTCCCCTCCTAAATGAAGCTACTTCAGATGCTTAGTGCACCAATGATCAAGTCAAAATTGTGTGTTTTGGGGTCGAGGCAAACCAGGTTAAGGGATAGGAAATGTGTGGAAGACTTGGGAAGCTGGAAATGATGCCTATACTAAGTAGAAAAACTGTCTTGAAACTTGGGAATATATATTTTTTTATTTGTAGGCACCCAAGATAATACAAAGAAATGTAATCTTAGAAAAAAAATTTCTGGCTACATGGACAGAGCAGAAAATATAAAGAAATACTTGGATCAAGAAAAAGAAGGTAAAGAGGCTGTTTTAGAGAATGTGTTCATACACTATTGACAAAGCCCATTCACTTAGTGTTTCTGGCTCTGCCTTTGGAGCTCTGTGAGGTCTAGAATATTTAT